GAAGTGGGCTCCTGATATCCTCTATAACTCACAGTAGCTGATTTGTTGCTTCACTAACCTACATTAGTTAATTTGTTGTGTCTTCAGGGTTGAGGAGCTTCGGGTTTTGGATATTAAGTTTTTGTATGGTTGCCCCAGGCCAACTATTGTTGTGCTTTACCAGGTTTTGATTTACTATTGCAATTATCCCTAGAATTTGAAGTGTGTGAGGTATTTTTGTTGAAATAGGACTCATTGGTGTACTCTATGTGAGTTGCTTGAAGCGTGTATCCTATTTTCATTAGTGTGATCACTGGTCATGACTAGGCTAGGCTTGTTTGTGTAACATGACCTTTATGTGTTTATATTGGTGGGCTTTATTTTATCGTTCATGATATATCTCTTGGCAAGCCTTTTATGGGTGATGGTTGCTCAGCTACATTTCTTTAGTATGGTTTATATAATCTAGTATATGCTTTCCATGTATGATGCCTTTGACAAAACTAGTTGAGTCTCTTGGAGTTTATATATTATTTACAGGAACATACTTGCTTATTTTAGTGGTTGTTCTTAGTATTGTTGTTCCTTCTGTTGTTACCATCTTCTTCCTGTGTTGACTGACAGGATGCCGAAGATGTACGTCATATGAAAACTTACGAAGTTGCTTTGAAGGATGAATGTTTTGCTGAGGGTCCGTGGTCTCAGAATAGTCTTGATAATGGGGCAGAATTGTTAATCCCAGTTCCGCCTCCTCTTTGTGGTGTCCTAATTATTGGTGAGGAGACTATCGTTTATTGCAGTGCCTCTGCTTTTAAAGCAATCGGAATCAGGCGTGTAAGTTACTTAGNCCGCCTCCTCTTTGCGGTGTCCTAATTATTGGTGAGGAGACTATCGTTTATTGCAGTGCCTCTGCTTTTAAAGCAATCGGAATCAGGCATGTAAGTTACTTAGAACTCCTGCTAGTTCTGTGCGAGCTCATTCTGATCATGATACCGGTCTTATTTTGTGTTTTGTCCGTGAAGTCTATTACAAAAGCTTATGGGAGGGTTGATGCTGATGGTTCACGCTACTTGCTAGGGGATCATAAGGGGCTTTTGCATCTACTTGTTATAACTCATGATAGGGAGAAGTAGGTTTGCTGTTTTCCGATTTGTCATTTCACAAGTTTAAGGCTTATATGCAGCTTGTTTGAAATGTCTAAATGGTTTTCCTATTTGTGATGTGCTAGAGTAACTGGACTGAAGATTGAGCTATTGGGGAAAACGTGTATCGCATCGTCCATATCATATCTTGATAATGATGTGGTCTTTGTATGCTCAAGCTATGGAGACTCACAGGTTTCACGTATTGTTGTTTATGAAGTATAGTTAATGTCACTGTTAATATGTTTCTAGTTGTGATGTTGATTCGTACTTATATATTCCTAGATGATAAAGCTGAATCTTCCAGCGGATGCAAAAGGTTCTCATGTGGAAGTTTATGTCCTTCATCATTATCAAGTGGAGAGCACATTTACAAATCAACTGTTGACAAATATCGCATCATACTTGTAAGAATATCAGTTTGACATCGTCCGACAAACCTAAGTGTTTTCTAGAAGATTTCTTGTTAAGCAAGCAAAATAAATTAAAAGGAAGTTTTCTATTTATTTACTTGTGATTTAAATAAGTTCCTAAAATAAGGAGGAAGACTTTGCTACAAATTCTCTCAATGAAGGTTTATTTGGTGAATGGATGAAGGCTTTAGAAGGTACAGTTATATCTAGTTCTCCAACAATTAGCACATACTCCCAATCGCAGAAAGAAGGAAACAATATCCATAGCACCTCAACTGAAGGCAAAAATGATTCCTTTCCACAGCAACACTCCCAGGGTCCAGAAGCTAACAACATTAACCTCCTTTTGCAAAAACTCAACAATATTCGTGAACCTAACTCATAAGGGATTGAAGAGTCATCAGCTTCCTTTCACATATCTAACCAGTCTTCTAAAGGTAAAGAATTAGTAGCAGTGATGCACACTATTCAGGAAAGCAACTCCAGCACCCAACCACCCTTAGAGGTCCAAGCTGTACCCAGGGAAGGAGATATGGCCATGCAGATAGAAAAGGGTTATGCACCTCCTGCTTTGACTATCAAACCAGTCTAAGGGAAGACATGGAAGAGAGCAGCTTCAAAAGTTTGCAGACTGGCCAGAGAAAGTGAAACAACACAAGTCATTCCTTCTCCTAAGCACAACAAGAGAACCAAAGAAGAGAGCTAAAAAACAACTGTTATAGTACATGAGGCTAAGCAGATGACATTCAAAAAACCAAAACTTTCAAAGGACAAGGTGGAGGCAGCCAGCCATAATTGACCCCAACCCCCCAATGGAAGCTATGGTGTGGAACTGTAGAGGTCTGGTGGGCCCTCTACAGTATCCCAGATAAGAGAGATTATTCAATCTCACCATCCAAACTTTATTTTCCTGTTTGAAATTAAAAAACAAAACAAAATCTCTATGGAAGTATGTTTTTTGTTATGATTCTTACGCCCCGTAGATTATGATTCTTATTTTTTATTATAAATGATAAAATATGATTCCATAAGGTAGCACAATTTAAGTTTTTTGTTTTTTGTTTTTTTATTAAAACTTAAATTGATTGTAATCTTATTAAAATTCTAAAATAATGTCCTAAGAAATTAAAACCAATTTGCACGATTATCATTCCTAATTAATAATCGGAGAAATTGAATTTTTTTTTTTTATAATATTACCAATAAAAGAGGAGGCAAGCTGAGACCTGCTAACAGCTTCCTTGCATTCAATAGCTTCATCTCTTCAATGGGGATAGATGAAATCCCAATGACAGGCTATCACTACACTTGGGGGTAACAATAGAGACCAAGAAGGCTATGTTGAAGAAAAAGCTTGACAGAGGCTTTGGTTCTCTTTTCTGGATGTCTAAATTCCCACAAGCTCAGATTGCCAACCTTTACAGAAGTGCTACTGACCATGAAGTTCTTTTGTTAGATGACAAAGTCCATACAGTCAAGAAACCCAGAAGATTCACCTTTGACAAAAGGTGGCTCCAAAGGGCAGGTTGTAAGGAAGAGGTGCAAAATGCATGGTCTATCCCTCAACAAGCACACCCTTCTTCAGGCTCAAAGAACAAATTAAGCAAACTAGACTAGCTCTCTCTAAATGGAGCAAATTCTTCAGATCAGAGCAGAAGCAGAAAATGGAGTCTCTTACATTGAAGTTGGAAGAAATGAGACAAATGGGTGAAGGAAAAAACTGAGAAGAATGGGAAACTATTAGAAAGGAGCTAGAACAGACTCAAACCACAGAAGAACTATATTGGCAGCAGAAGTCAAGCGTGCTATGGCTGAGAGATGGAGATCAAAACACTATCTTTTTTCATGCATATGCTATGCAAAGAAGAAAAAGAAATGCAATCTCTAGACTTATTACTGCTGACAACAGAGTCTGTGACACCTAGGAGGAGATAGCCAAAGAAAATTCCAGGTACTATCAACATCTTTTTACATCAGGGGCTCACAAGGTTCATCAGACATTACTCAGCACATCCCCCATTCAATCTCAGCAGACATGAATGAAGCCCTACTCACACCTATTTCAGAAGCTGAAATCCAAAAGGCTCTATTCTCTATGAATCCTCTAAAGGATCCTAGAGAGGATGGAATGACATCATTATTCTTCCAACACTTCTGGCCCATTGTCAAAGAAGACCTTTGTGCAGCAGTTTACAGCTTTTTTTTCCTCTAGTCAAATCCTAAGGTACTGGAATCACACCCTAGTTACTTTGGTGCCTAAATGTCTGAACCCCACTTCAATCACTCAGTTCAGACCCATAAGTCTGTATGGGGTGGTCTACAAGATGATTTCTAAGGTCCTGGCAACTAGATTAAAAGAATGCTTAAACTCCTGCATCAGTCAAGCTCAAGGAGCTTTCCTTCCAGGGAGGAACATTTTGGATAACATAATCATTGCTCAGGAGGCCTTCGACTACCTTAACAGGCACAGAACAGGGCCTCATTGCTTTATGGCACAGAAGTTAGACATGCTGAAAGCATTTGACCGAGTGGAATGGAGTTGTATCAGAGATATCATGCTAAAAATGGGATTTGACTCTTCATTCATCAAGTGGATATTTGCTTGCATCACAACCACCTCATTCTCTTTCATGGTAAATGGAGAACCTGTGGGCTACCTAAAACCTTCAAGGGGATTAAGGCAGGGGGATCCCCTATCCCCCTACTTATTCCTCATTGTCTCAGAGGCTTTCTCTGCTCTCATTCACTCTGCTATTGCTGTGGGTACTTTCAAAGGATTAAGAACTGCAAGAGATGGCCCTACCCTCTCCCATCTGCTCTTTACAAATGACTCATTTGTGTTCTGCAAAGCCACTTCTGACCAGGCATTGCACCTCAGGGATATTCTCAGAAAATACCACCTCTTCTCAGGGCAAAGTGTCAACATGTCTAAATCCACTATCTTCTTTAGCAAGAACACCGATAACAACACCAAAGGGAGCATCTGTCACATCCTCGAAGGCATCACCCCTCACTCATCAACTAGGTACCTTGGACTTCCTATGGGGATAGGAATGTCCAAAAAGGAAGCCTTTGACTATGTGTTGCAAACAGCAAGAAAGAGACTAGTAAACTGGAAAAACAAGTACCTCTCCACTGCAGGAAAAAAGATCCTCATAAAGGTTGTCCTTAACTCCTTACATGTCTATGCAATGTCCTGCTTCATGTTACCAGCTGGTACATGCAAGGATCTAGCTAAGATCCCTTTTCTGGTGGAGCAAGGGCAAAGAAATGAAAAAAAGACTACACTGGAAAAGCTGGAAACTACTTTCTATTCGCAAACAGAATGGTGGTTTAGGCTTTCAAGATTTCAGTCTCTTCAACAAGTCTCTCATTCTCAAGCAACTCTGGAGGATCACCAAAAATCCCCAACTTTTGGTTAGTAAACTGCTGCAAGCCAATTACTTCCCAAAATCATCTATTTTTGAAGCAAAAAAGAAACCCTCTGCATCCTGGATGTGGAATAACTGGCTAGCTCTACTTCCTACTTTTAAACAAGGAATTTTGAAAGAAATCAGAAGTGGACAAGAAACAAAGATACAATACCATGGCTGGGTCCCTAGATTGGGAGTTCTTCCTCCACAAAGAACTGCAGAAAGGCATAACCTAACACTTGTCAAGGATCTTATGATTAACAGTGGCAGTGGCTGGAATGTGGACCTAATCAAAGAGATGTTTGCAGCTGAAGATGACCAGGCAATTTTGTAAATCAAATCCCTTTCACCAGGCCTAAAAGACAGATGGAGATGGAGGTTTGATTCCAAAGGTAGTTTTTCTGTGGCTGCTTCATGTTCTCACTTAATTGATCTGAAGTTGAGAACTTTAGACCTGTTTAACAGCAGCAACACTGGAAAATTTGATGTCTTTGTGAGACTAAGAAGCTGGAAACTTAAGGTCAAAAGCAAGCTCAAGCATTTCATATGGAAATGCTTCATAGGAACACTCCCAGTTGGTGAGAATCTCAGGAAAAAAGGCCTTGAAATTGATCCTATTTGCAGACATTGTGAAGAGGCCGCTGAAACTAATGATCATGCCCTGCTCAGTTGCACCAGAGCCCAACAAGTGTGGAAACAGTCACCTCTATATGGGGATGGCTTCCATTGAGAACTGCAGTTTCAGAAGTTGGTGGTGGCAAGTGTGCTCCATAAGGAAGTCAGAGATCTCTGAAGCCAGGATTCAGCTATCAACCTATATACTATGGTGGCTTTGGAGATCTAGGAACTTATGGCTCTTCAACCAGGAACTCATACCAACCAAAGTCATCATCAAAGGGCTATTTTGGAATGGCAAGAATTCAATGCAGTAGCAGCTCCATAGAAATGTCCCTCAGTCTGAGAAGGTTTCTGCTAGCTGGTTTAGTTGTTGGTGTTTTTCTGCTTTTTTTGGGTTCTTTGTAGCTGTCTTTTTCATGTCCTTTGATGTTTGTTAGCTGCTAGTTGGTGTCTTGTTTAGTTAGTTGTTGTTTGGTATTGGGTCGGTTTGGAGGTTTCTAAGTTAGGAGTTTCTAGCATTTATCTAGCTTCTAGCTTATGATTGTGGTTGGTTGTTCTAGCACACTTCCTAAGTGTTGCTCTCAGTCTCTTGCGGTTTC